AGTCGACCGAAACGTCGGGAACTTCCATTTCTCTCGCTGAGTTTAAAAAAAAACGACCCTGCAATTGTATGTCTATGTGTTCATCTACGCAGCAGCAGCAGCGTCATGCATGTGCGCGTTTAAAAAAAATACGTGTCTGTGTGTGGGGAGCGGCGGTGCAGTGGTTAGCGCTGAACGGAACTACCAAATAACAGTGCGGTGTGTAGTAACCATATGCATGTATGTTCAAATTCTTTCGCACCATACATAGCCAACCGTGCTAGTCAGAGGTGCGGGACATCAGCGCTGGGGAGCCAAAGACGGTCGGGCGTGGTGTCAGTCACCCACCGCGTCGCGTGCCGTGCTGGCCTTCCTAGGCGCTACTCTGTAACAGCACTTGCCCCAATAGTCTGTTAAAGTCTACACGGGGCACCTTTGTCTTTGTGTGTGTGTGAGCATGCTTCTCCTTTCTGGAGGAACTGACTCGGCACGTGGTGATCATTCTACTTGAACACTCACCACACACAACCTCACCACACAACATCACCACTCACAACCTCACCACTCACACACAACCTCACCACTCACACACAACCTCACCACTCACAACCTCACCACTCACAACCTCACCACTCGCACACAACCTCACCACTCACAACCTCACCACTCACACACAACCTCACCACTCACACAACCTCACCACACAGCCTCACCACACAGCCTCACCACACAACCTCACCACTCACAACCTCACCACTCACAACCTCACCACTCACAACCTCACCACTCACACAACCTCACCACACAGCCTCACCACACAACCTCACCACTCACAACCTCACCACTCACAACCTCACCACTCACAACCTCACCACTCACACAACCTCACCACACAGCCTCACCACACAACCTCACCGTGGTGAGTGTTGCGGAGAGGGATGATGACAGAATGAGTATTTACCTAGCGTGCCTGTGCAACTGGTGTACAACCAAAGAGAGCACACGGCTACTAGAGGCAGGGAGGTCTACGCAATAACACTCGTTTCGTAGAGAGCGACAGAGGCAGTCAGTCACAGGCAGAGCCAACGTGAACATTTCAACGTTTGCCCGACGTTCGGCATGTTGGAACCACTGGCCCAACCCTGGCCCAACGTTCCGTGTTTTACTTTGGGGGTGGCTGGGTGGGGGACGTTTCAGACATTGGGAGCAGCACAGGAGTGAGAGTGCCAACTCGTTAAGCATTGTCGTGGAACACGACTGTTAATGCCATGCATGGGCAGGGCTCCCTGCTGTCTCCACACACAGACACTTTCATAATTTAGTCCATCTGTCTATTGGCTTTGGAGACCAGTACCAATCATTCATCAGCAGCATTTGTCGAGCAGTCAGAACTCGAGGCGGACGTCGACATTCATGGGTCTCATCAGCAGCCCGGCGTGCTTAAACACACGGGGGTTATTCATCTGATGAGTAACCCATGAGTAGGGATATTTGTGTTGACAGTTATAGCGTCCGCTAAGGGCTTAATAGATGCGCCCGACATGACGGACTCGATTGCGTGATTTGTCACGATACCACGTGACATGTATTTCGTGTGTTTGCTGTCCTTTCCCCGCACCTGCGATTAATTATCACGGTTGGCTACGTACGGTGCAAAAGAAGTTCAACACACGTATACGTGCGACTCTTGCTGCTGCCTCTGTTACCGCAGCAGCAGTCGCTGTCTCCCTGTCTTTCTGCGTCTCCCGCGTGTCCCAGTGTTTGTCCACGTGTCTCCTCCCTGCTCCCCATCTCTCCCCGTGGCCTTCGCCGGACGGTGACGTCTGTCCCACCTGTCCCTGTGTCTCCACTCCCCCTATCTCTCCTCTCCGTGTCTCTGTGCTTCTCCCTTATCTGCCCCCGCCCCTCCCCACCACCGGGCCCCGTGCCCTTGTCACCTACGGTGGAGCAAGCCCCCTTCTCTACCACTACACCGCCTCCTACCCCCACACTCTTCCCCATTTCTCTGTGCGTGCGGGGGAAGTGCACTTCCACTGCCCGCCCCACCCCCCTCCACAACCGCCTTCGTCTCCCATGCGAGGAGCTCTCACTTCTCGCGGCTCCTTGATTGTAATCACACTTGGGGAGCTCACTGACACTCACTGCCTCTTTCCTGCAAGGTGAGTGCCCGGCCTCAGGAGTTGCAGCTCCTAAGCGTGTCTCTGTGATCATCACGATTAGCGCAGTGAATTGCCGGGGTCAGGACGCGCGTCGTCAGAAGGGATGACGGCGTGGAGGTCGAGACTGGTCACCGAGTGGCAGCCAAAGCAAGGGGGCACGCTGGGACACGGAGCCATTCGGGGTTACATCTCGTCCAGGTGGACGTTCGGTCCGCCAAGGAGACTTGCAACAACGCCGTCGGGTCAAAGTTGAACCTGGCTGGGCCGGTAGGGGCGGGTCGCCGTGGCCTCGGGGTCTTGTCAGCGACGACTTGTTTCCTCGAGAGGGATTGCGGCCCCTGCACGAGGCCACCGTCCTCACGGCAGTCGTCGCGGTCACCTCGCCGCAGGCAGGAAGCGGGGCAGCGGGGAAAAGGGGCAGCAGGGCAGCGGGGCAGCAGGGCAGCGGGGCAGCAGGGCAGCGAGGCGGTGGCGTGGACGACGACGACGTGGACCGAGTTCACGGTCACCGCGCTCAGTCGACGCGCGCACCGCAGACAACGTGACGTGCACGGTGGGAGGGAGGCGGTGGGAGGGAGGCGGGGGGGCTATGGTCCCATTGGTATCTTGGCCCGCAAGCTGCGTAGAGCTGGTCTACATTCCTGACACGCGGTGTGATAGACAGGTTTGGTGAAATGTGTGTTGGTGGCCGGCGGGTGGTAATTCCGCTGTAGTCTACGCCCCTTCAATGGAGGAGGAGGAGGAGTAGCTCGTGAAGGCCTCTCGTCGTGGCCTGCAGCAGACCTCGACATCGGTTGGCATTTATCTGCACGTACCACTTTGCTCCAATCGCGCGCTATCACAGAATATTACGGCGGTGAGACGTTAACTACCTTGCCTGGAATACAGGAGGTCGTGGCTTCGATCCCGATGCCTCTTGTATATTTGGAGTTTGCGTGTCTCTCTCCGCGTGGTGGCGGGGATTTTTTTCCGGGTCCTCCGGTTTTTGCCCTCCACGTTTAGAATCGACGTCACGCGTTTAGAGTATTTGGCTGCTATAAATGCCCATGTGATCAGCCACTTGGTTGAGCTGTAATTTGTGGCCAGGTCGCTTCTGGAAAGAGCTCCACAGCTCAGTGCGCTACACCTGGTAAAAAATAAATACATTTCGTTAAAAAAAAATGTTTATATAAGAACGACAGTGCTGGCTTATATGGCCCCGCACGTGTTTATATAGCTCGTGCCACCAACAACAGAGATCCCGTGTAAAGCCTAAACAGACTCTCAAGGCTAGCGCTGTTCACAAGTAGCACCTATAAAGGCTAGCACGTCACACGAGGGGGTGGGTGGCCATCACCACCACGCACGGTCGTCTTTGTCTTCCCAGTAGCGATGTTTAGACACCGCACCAAGTACTTATTTGAGGCTGAGTTGACCTTGTGAAGGCACAGCACCGGTTCGTATGATCGTCGCTGGTGTTGGCTGTGAGCGAGAATCGAACCTCGGTAGCTGCGTTTGTGGCGCAGTGCGCTACCTGTTGCATCACCACTCCCCGTGCCACACACACACACACACAGTGCGCTAACCGCTGCACCACCACTCCCCCTGCCACACACACACACCTTCTCCCGGGTACGAGCAGCGGCTGCCTCTGCTAATATCTATTTTAAATCGTGGACACCGTTAAATAATTTACATCTCGAAACTCTAGGTTGGAAAGACAAGTATCCTGTTTTCCATTGTAAATGTTCTCACTGTCATCTGTATCAATACATACATCTAATACATGTAATTGCTGCGTATACTTAACCATAACGACGCTTATGATTGTGTAACGATTGTACCGACAAGTAGTCTGTATTATGATAATTTTTTTTTACCCTTTTATCTGGCAACAAAACTGACACCTTTTTTTTACAAGGAGTCATGTTTGCATAGACCACAATACCTGCAGTCATAATGCAAACAAAAAGCATAACTCTGATAATGTATGCATTGTCCTTGAAATTGATTAGAGTGGATTGGTGTGGGCCAATCAACTTCAAGGACAGTGCATACATTATCAGAGTTGTGTTTTTTGTTTGCATTATGACTGTAGGTATTGTGGTCTATGCAAATATGACTGCTTGTAAAAAAAGGCGTCAGTTTTGTTGCCAGATTAAAGGGTAAAAAACCAATTATCATATTTTTTACTGGCAAATGAGGTTCCAATGGTAGTCTGTAATAGTCTCGTGCTGTATATATTTTATAAAGTTTAGCGTCGAGCTGGGACCAATATCTAACGGAGAGGGTGCTTGACTAAAAACATCTGGCAGTTCCACCAGCATTGTTCCAGCAAGGCCGAGCCTGCTGATGAGCCGCTGAATGTCAAAACCAGTCCAGGGTTTTGTTTGCGTTGAAGCGCGCATGAATCGTGCCTCCTCAAAGGATGCACGCCCAGAAAACGTCGTGGCTGACGGGATGTGTAAGAAAACACATGTCCTCGTGTGTGTGCGTGTGTGTGTGCGTGTGTGCGTGTGCGCGTGTGTGTGCGCGTGTGTGTGCGCGTGTGTGTGTGCGTGTGTGTCCGTGTGTGTGTGTGCGTGTGCGCGTGTGTGTGTGTTTGATGTAGGGGGAGCGGTAGTGTAGCGGCTAGCACCAGTGACGATTATCTGAATCAGTCCTGGGCCTCCCCTAGATTGACTCAGCCTCATGAGCACCTGGTGCGGTGTTAACATCGCCACTTAGGAGACAAAGGTGGTCGGGCGTGGTGTTGGCCACCCACCCCCTCGTGGGCCATGCCGGCCTTCATAGGTGCTCGCTAACAGCACTTGCCCCTGCAGTCTGTTAAGGCTACACGGGGGATCTTTGTCTTGTTGTTGTTGTGTGTTTGTTATTTCACAGGCGGATCCCAGAACACGACTCCGCGCCCGTTTCACGCCGCCGCCGCCCTCCTGGAATCCTACCCCAAGTTTTCGAGCGTCGCGGGGCCCAGCGGGACCCCAGGGGGACCCCGCGGGACCCCAGGGGGACCCCGACCCCTCCGCGGTGAGGGGAGGGGCGGTGCGGGTGGCGTGGCGGTGTTAGTTTTGTGTGTTTGTGGGCTCAGCAGGGATCCCTCGATTTTACCAAAGGGATGCGTTTCTTCAAAAAGACCACGCCTAAAACGAAATGTCGTACATGGGAACGGCTTTTCCCATTTAATTTAATACTAAAATATGAGGGATTGTGATTCGAACAGTCATTCCAACTCTACTACTCTACTACTAACCTATATACACCTATATCACTCTTCACAATTAAAAAATAATAATGATAAAGAACATATTAAAACGATTGAGTAATTCTGAATTTAACACAAAAATAATTAACCTTTCCAGGAAACTCGCCAAAATATCTGCTGCATGTTGGAATGACGAGGGTGGGGGGTGATGCAGAGGCGCTGGTGCCGTCAATGCAGGGACACTGTGACGCTGTCGTGGATGGATGACGACGCAGCCTCCCACGTGGCTTCCTGTTTGATGATCTCACGGCGTGTGGCCGGGAGTCACTTTTGGTTGATGCGGAAATTCGATTTCGCTCATCGAAAATCGTCTGTAATTTGTCAATTGCGTTAATGGGAAATTTCGTAAACCGAACGTTCGTAAATCGAGGGACGCCTGGATTTGATAATTATTCATTTAGTCAAGAAAGTCACACAGAGTGCCAGACTCCTCTTGCAGGAAGGTTCTGCTACATTGGGATGTTTGGCAAAGATCAATGGTACTGTGTGTTTGTTCACAGCGAGGCCACCAACACCAGCGACGATGATCTGAACCGTTTTGAGCCTCCTCTAGGTCGGCTCGGCCTCAAACGAGTACCTGGTGCAGTGTGTAAAATCATCGCCACTAGGGAGACAAAAGCGGTCAGGCGTGGTGCTACTCACCCACCCCCTCGTGTACTGTGCCCGCCTTCATAGGTGTTGCTAACAGCACTTGCCCCGAAGGCCTGTTAAGGCTATAAGGGGATCTTTGTCTTTATGGTCGTGGGTGCGTGTGTCTGCGTGAGTGTGGATCAAAGTTTGAGTTTCTACACCTGTTTATGCCTGGGTGTGTGAGTTTGTGTGTCCGTGTGTGTGTGAGTGTGTGTGTCCGTGAGTGTGTGTGTGTCCGTGTGTGTGTGAGTGTGTGGCTGTGTGTGTGTCGAGAGCGGTGACGCAGTGGTTCGCAAACTGCAGCGTGAATCCATCGACCTGGGTTCAAGTTCTGGCGATGGCCAACACCAGTGACGGAGTGGCCGTCTGAACCTGTCCTGGGCCTCCCATATAGGTCAACTCGGCCATAACTAAATACTTGAATACTAATCTCGGAGTGTAAACATCAGCACCGGGGAGACGGGGAGACAAAGGTGGCCGGGCGTTTCTATTCTGGCGTATGATGGCAATATGTTCAGGAGCTAAGTGCCAATGTCTGCTGGCCATGACGAGAGGGCTTGAGAGAGAGAGTTGGTGTCGTTTTGCTGCTCATTCTGCTCCATGGAAGGAACACAGACCACAACGGTTTGCGGTACGATCCATTTTTTTGGCTTGCATGGCCACAAATGGCCGCACCACCCCGTGACTGCCTAAATAGGTGCTCGCTAACAGCACTTGCCCCCGGACAGTCCTTTGTAAGTCTTCGTCGCTTTGGTCTGTGTCGTCTCGACTGCACCCACACGCCTGCGTGAGATTGTGTGTGCGTGTGCTTCAAATGAGTACAGTGCCCGGTGGGGTTGGGTAAACATTGCCACTAGGGAGACAAAGGCGGCCGGGCGTGGTGTTGGCCACTCACCCCCTGGTGTGTCGTGCCGGCCTTCATAAGTGCTCTCTAACAGCACTTGGCGCTGCAGTCTGTTAAGGCTATACGGGCATCTTTGTCTTTGTGTGTTGTGGGGCACAGTGGTTAGCGCACTGCGATACCAACTGAGTGACGCGAGTTCCTTTTTCCACTCGCGGCCCCCAACGCGAGCGGTGACAAATCTGAGCCAATCTCGTCCCTCCCTTAGGTCAGCCTCAAATGAGCATCTGCTGCGACGTGTAAAACATCGCCATTAGGGAGACAAAGGTGGCCGGGTGTGGTGCTGGCCACCCACCCCCTCTTGTGCAGGCCCCAACAATCTGTTGAGGCTCCACGGGGAGTCTTTGCCTTTGTGTGCATGTACAAGCCGCTTGCGCAAGCCGCGTTAACCCCGTGACCCCGTGACTCATCTGTGGACCCTGTGCCCCACGGCGTCTCCACGGTTCCGCAGGTGCCGTGCTTCCCCCGTGTGGAGGCCTTGGGCTCTGGTTAACGGGCCGGGCCCGGCACGGCACGGCACGGCAGCGCACGCCGCTTCCTCCTCGCGGCGCCCTTCTCGGTTTTCCGCGACGGGTTTCAGAAGTGCCGACTGCTCTGAACGGAGGCGACGCAGTTGACAGCGAGCCGGGAGCAAGGCCCCGTGGCCTTAAATGCAAACTCCGAGTTTCATCGCGAAACTTATTCCAAGCCTTGACCCATAATAATAACAAATAATAATTCAAACGTATAATTGCGCATTCCATCCTAGGATCCCAATGCACGATGCATGAACAGCAGGAAACTTAAACAGAGCCAGGGCCACCGATCAACCTAGAGAAGGAAGGCCGGTTTACAGAGATGGGTTTTCAAAGCAGACTTCAATCTATCTACCGACTCTGATTGCCTGGTTTCAAGTGGCGAGGCTTATGGGTGCCACGCTAACACAAGCCCGGTCGCCAAAAGAGCGCGAGCTAGACCCTGGGAGTGCTGAGCAGTCGGAGATCAGAAGATATTAAGGACGTTGATGGATTTATAAATGTCTTAGTTCCTGCAAGTAATTTGGGTTGAGCCCTTTTAAATCCTTATAGGTTAATAGCGGTATCTTAAAATACACTCGGAATTTGACCGGTAGCCAATAACATATCACCCTAGCCTTGACCCACAGTCTTAACCCATAGCCCTAGCCTTAACCCATAGCCTTAACCCACAGCCTTAGTCTTAACCAATAGCCCTAGCCTTAACCCATAGCCTTAACCACAGCCCTAGTCTTAACCCATAGCCTTAACCCACAGCCCTAGTCTTAACCCATAGCCCTAGCCTTAACCCATAGCCTTAACCACAGCCCTAGTCTTGACCAATAGCCCTCGCCTTGACCCCTAGACCTAAATATCACCGTCGCCCTCACTCCAACCCAGTCTCCATAGACTTCACCCTAGACCCACTCCCAAACTCTCAGCCTCTCTCATCGCTGCGGTATTGCTCCTCCTCCTGTCAGGCCACGGATCTTTCAATCTCGCTTCGTGTAATCGTCATCATCATCATCAGATGTTACGTGGAGAATGTCTCCGTGGGCCTCTCTGTTCACGGCTCTCTGAGAGACGCCAAGGGGCAGTGTAGGGCAGCACTGACGGCGTCTGGGCGGACCTTGCCTCAACGCTGCTGCTGTGCGCGTTCAAACGCCGTACAGGTTGCACGCGCGTGCGTGAGTGTGTGTGTCGATGTGTGTGTATGTTGATGAGCGTGTGTGTGTGTCGATGAGCGTGTGTGTGTGTCGATGAGCGTGTGTGTGTGTGTGTGCGGTAGTGGAGCGGTTAGCGCGCTGCGCTACGAACCTGGCGACTCGGGTTCGATTCCCGCTCACGGCAAACATCAGTGACGTTTTTCTGAACCGGTCCTGGGCCTCCCCTAGGTCGACTCAGCCTCAAATGAGTACCTGGTGCGGTGTGTAAACATCGCCGCTTGGGAGACAAAGGCGGTCGGGCGTGATGCTGGCCACCCACCCCCTCGTGTACCGTTCCGGCCTAAATAGATGCTCGCTAACAGCACTTGCCCCAACAGTCTGTTAAGGCTATACGGGGGATCTTTATCTTTGTGTGTTGATGAGCGGTGGTGTAGTGGTTATCGCGCTTGCGCTACGAACCCGGCGACCCAAGTTCGAATTGTGCCCACAGTCAACATGAGTGGGGAGGGGGGGAGGGGGGAGGTCTCCGCCTCTCCGTGCCGCGTGTGGAAGCCGCTCGCGGCAGCGGCGCTTGCGACTCGACGAAATCGCCCATCGGAGATCTGCCCATGTATGGAAGAAAGTAGGCGTGGCGTTTCTCCCGAAGGGGCGTGTCTTTGCCCATATATGGTCTTGAGGATCTTGAATCGAGGTCGATCGTATATATTATGGTTCGGTCGATCCACCGGTCGTCTCGAAGTCGATCGTAGTTTGCGGGTTAATCGGCGTGTCGAGTCATTGCCAATCGATCCATAGATCTGGTAATCCCATTGATTGGCTAATATCTACCTCATCGGTGAGTCCGTCGCAGTCCGATTGTATTGTACCGCAGCGCCACCCCCTCCTCACTTGAGCCGAACCGCGCTGCTGCTGCCCCCAGCGTCACGCACGGCCGCCGCCATGATGGAGGCGGCGGCGGCTCGAAAAACCAATCCCTGAGAATTGCCCGCGATGGAACTCGCAACGATAAACCTCCTCAGCCCGGTCCTAGCCCCCGAGACACGAACCGAGCCGTGGTCCCGAGGCCCAGCCTCACACCAGCTCTAACCCAAGAACTTGCCCTAACCCTTGCTCAGATCACGTAAACCTAACCCAGGGCTTACACCGTAACCATAGCCTGAACTGAAACCCTCACAGAGCCTTTAGCACCGACTCCTAGACCTAACCTGAACCCTAGCCATAGGACGAGCCCCAATTGTAGCCTTAACATTCAGTCTAGACCAGGGGTCGGCAACCAAAATAACAAGAAGAGCCATTTCTTTCCAATTCGGTACAAAATTCAGTATTTAAAGAGCCGCAATGCATCTGAGTACATACTATACATACGTACTCATCGTCAAGAAGCAGCCCGTAAAGAGCCGCATGCGGCTCCGGAGCCGTAGGTTGCCGACCCCTGGTCTAGACCATAACCTCCGTAATGCCAACACGAACTGTAACATTGCCCTGTATTCATAACCCCTAGTAAAACAATTTTAATCCAGTGGTCAAATGATAAAGGCCTGTACAAATTAATTGCTTATTTTGAACGTTGATTTTCTCTGCAGCTCCGGTGAGGCCCACGGGTTCGCCGAGTCCACGCACCCCGCTGGCCACGACCCGAACCCCGACCTCGACCCCCGTGGTTCACTCCCCCGCTGCGAACAACCTGAAGCCCGTGGAGCTACGGTACCCCAAGACCCCTTCGACCCCTTCGACCCCGTCGGTCCGACCTAACGGACTCAGCCCGGCACCCGCGTCCAGTTTGTGGCCGCACGTCGCCGCCGCCACCACGGACCACAAGTTCCAGGGGTTTCGGGTACCCCAGCCGCCAGCCCAGCCCTCCAGGGCCCCCACGGAGGAGAATCGGCCCACGGTCGCGAGGCCCTCGCCGCACGGCACGGCCGCTGGCGGGAATGTGGCGCTAGGCCCGAAGACCACGGGCACGCCGCGCCACGCGGACTCTGAGATGAGCGCCCCTGCTCCACGCACGCCGCTAAAATCAAAGCCCGCCGCCGGTCTCGGCAAGGACCTGGCCGGTGGCGCCGGCGGGCCTGGCTCGCCCGGCCTGCAAAAGGCCGTGACTCCCAGGGCCCCCGAGCCAGACAAGGCTGCGATCTCGCGGGCCAATGGGCCCGGTAAAATTGAGTTGCCCAAGGTTTTTGAGCCGGGCAAGACGGAGACCTCTAGAGAGCCAGGTCCCGGTAAGGTTGAGTTGCCCAAAGTCTTTCAGCTGGGCAAGAAGAAGACCCCGAGGGACTCGGGACCAGGAAAGATTGAGTTGCCCAAGGTTTTTGAACTGAAAAAGTCTGAGACCTCAAGAGACCCAAAGCCAGTGAAGATTGAGACTCCTCACGTGTTCAGACCTGGCCACATTGAGACCCCTAGTGATCACGAGCCAGGAAAGATTGAGTTGCCCAATGTATTTGAACCAAGCAAGAATGTGACCTCTGGCGACCCGGGTCCGGGTAAGATTGAGTTGCCCAAAGTATTCGGACCAGGTAAAGCCGAGACCGCGAGTGGCCTAGAACCCGGAAAGATTGAAACTCCTAAAGCGTTTAGACCGAGCAAGACGGACGCCCTGTCGCCCACAGCTCCGGGAAAGATCGAGACGCCCAATATGTTTAGGCCGAACATTGCCGAGACCCCCAGGGCCCTCGCAGCAGGCAGAGGGGTCCCTCGCACGACCCCGACGCAGGCCACGCCGGGGCCCGGCCCGGCAGGCAAGCCGGACATCCTGACCCCCAAGCCTCAAGCCACGGCGACGCCGGGACCGGCGACCGCGCCGGAGAATGGTGCCGCGCGGCCCACGGAGGCCGCGGCTGCCCCAAACAAGTTGAGCTGGCTGTGGACTCGTCCGGCCGGGCTCCCCGAGCAGGCGGAATCCGAGGAGGTGCACGATGGGATCCCCGCAGAGAGCCCCACAGAGAGCCCCCGCGCGAAAGACGCCCCTGAGAGGTGAGACCCCCCCCCCCGCCACTTCCTCGGCTGCTGAGCTGGCCGGTGCCCCCCGGTAGTTGGGACATCATCGTGATCATCTATCGTAGTAATCATCATCGTTGTACTCATCATCGTCATAATCATCAGCCCCCAGTCGCCGTAATCATAAAATACACATCCCGTGAGCCGCAAGGCCTTCTGGGATTGCGCAATGTCAGCTACGTTGATTCAATGTGAGCAAACTCTGGATCGGTTTCAACATTCAGGGTCTCAGCATCATCATGGTAATGATTACGTGGAATTATTTAGTTGTGTCGAACTTGGACCCCGTATCTTCATCGAGGGTCCTCCCCTATAAACATCTGGCAGCTCACCAGCAGTGGTTCCAGCCAATGGCGGAGACAAGATCTTCAGGTAGGGGGGTAACACCTCCAGCAATGAAAAACGATAGGAGTTGTTAGTAGGTAAGGAGTTGTTGGTAGATAAGGACTTGTCCCTTGCTTTTTATTCGACGCGTGTGCGGCAACGGCGCAGCCATCGATCGAGGGTCGAATTCGAACCGCGTTGTGTGATCGGCGTCGCGCTCGCTGAAGGTGAATGCCTTCAGGGAAGTCGTGTACTGTTTGCGCAACTGCGCACAATTCTGTGAGTCACTTATAACTGCTTTGCCGTTACTTATTGCCAATGATGAACTCAGACTATTGTCCTATCATCTCATAGAGTCCCTGGCGCGTAATAATATGCTACACAGTGGCAGTGGGCGTCGCAAAATGCCGATTTACTACTAATAAACCCCAATGATCCGATCGAAATGAGGGATTTCGATCGGATCATTGGGGGGGGCACGTGCCACCCCACCCCCCCACTGGCTCCGCCAGTGGCTCCGTGTGTTGAATCACCGTTGCTGCGTAAACGACGCACTCACAGAAGGCCGTGCTGCTCGTGGGTTGCGTAAAAATCCACTTCGTGTTCATGTTTATTACGCCGATGGCCAGATCTGTGCAGGAGGCGGTTGTAAGGGTTGTCCTCCGCAGCGGCGCTGAATGAGTGTTGCGTGTGTGAGGTCTGCTGCGAAACGCTGTGAGCCGCTGTGATCGACGTCACACACTGGGTTTGTCTAGCGCCCACTCAGCCACCCGCTCACTCACTCACTCGTCACACTGCAGGTCGCAACAGCACACCGAATTCACAAATTCACCGACTCGCCCACTGACGCACTCACTCACTCAGCCACTCACCACACTGCAGGTCAGAACAACGCTCCCTCACTCGCCCAACGATCCACCCACTCACACCGCACTGCAGGTCACCTTCTCTTCCCGCTTCTTCCCTTCGCACCGCGCCACTCTGGAATTCCCTGCTCCCGTCCTCGTCTCTTTTCCCTCCTAAGTTCTCACGATAAAAACAAAAACCTTTCGAGACTCAAGAAACGGCGACTCGAGGAATGTCCCAGATTCACGTGAGACACGTCACTGGGAGCGAGGGGGGGGGGGAGGTGGCGGGTTTTTTGGGCCGTGAGAGTTTGTCTGTGTGTGCGTACATCTGTCAGTCGTCTCCACCCGCAACATCCCATACATAATCTCTTTCCAGCAGCAAGCGTTCCTCACTTCACGAGGTAACCTCAAAGTGCACCTAGCCTCTTGATTGGATGACACCGGCAGCAGAGCCTCTAAACGGGGGCATGACGGCTAGCGTGCCACTGAGCCACGGCACCGATCATGACATCCACAATGACTTCAATCGTGCCGCTCGTTGCTGGCCGCTTGGCGTCTTGGGCCATTCGACCTCTGCTCTGCACGATCGTGATTTTGTACAAACAAAAAATTGGCCGTGCCTCGAGCACGTGGCGGGTGGGGAGGGGTTTGTGGCGTGGGGGGGGGGACATGGGGGCTGGAGGAGGGGCGATCCTCCACTCACGGTCACTGCCCTCACCTGTCCGCCCAGGTGAGTGAGCGCGGGGGAGGCAGGGGAAGGGGGGGTCAGACCCGCGGGGCTGGGCGCGTGCGTGCGACAGGCTGATCTCACGTTACACACGCGCACAGAGAGAGAGAGAGGAGCCGGTGTGGGCGGTGGGGGTGGTGCTGTATTTGCCGTGTGCGCTACTGTATCCGTGAGGTCCGGGTCCGTGCCTGACGCGAGGTGGGCACGCGGCCGCGGGTCCCTGTTGATAGAGGCGCCCGGCACGCGCCCACAGCAGCAGCGGCGGCGGCGGCAGCCACGGCGACGACGGTGGAGCGTCGTTGTGACGCGAGCGGCGTGGGTGGCTGGGATCGACGGGAGCGGACCGCGTTCCGAGCCGGCGCGCCTCTTCACCCCCCCCCTCCCCCGCGTGTGGGGGGACCGGGGGCTGTCCGCGCTCCGCTCGCGGTGGCGACGGCGGCGGCGGTGGCGGGACGCCCTTGAGCACAGAGAGAAGCGCCGCTCGGCTCGGGAGTCGAACCCGGCCTGACAAATTTAGCGGCCACGCGTACGAGGCTGGGGGGTGGTGGGGGAGGCGGCAGGTGGGCGGGTGGGGGAAGGGGGGTTGCGGGTGCTGGAGCGTGGCTCTCACCTGCACGAGACGGGGAAGCGCCGGGAGTGATTTATTGAAAAAGGGGGCAGCCGCTGCCCTTGGAGTGAACGCTCCACGCAGCGGCCGCCTTTGCCACGAGTTGCAGAGGGCTTCTCGGTGAAGGAGGCGGGGGAGCCCGGGACTACTCTGAGATCATCGTCACAATTATTATTATTATACCTTCATTTTTAAAGTCAAGCTCGACGTGGCATGAAGGACGCGCGCTCCGCAGGCGCTGTTGGCCGCAGGCGGCGATGGTGGTGCCACTGCCTGCGAGGGCCGGAGCAGCCCCAGCAGGCCCCGCACGGGCCAGACGGGAGGGCAGCGTGGCGCGGCGCCGCGGGCAGCAGCCTGCTGCTGTGCGGGCAGCGTGACGGGGCTGCGGGTGACGATGGCGGTGTTGACGGGGGTGACGGGGGTGACGGGGGCGATTGCGGCGGTGGTGATGGTGGTGACGATGACGATGAGCGGCGCCCGTTCAGCAGGGAGGACGGCGCGAGCGTGACCGGCGCGAGCGTGACCGGCGAGTGCGGAGCGGAGGAGTTCGACTCCCTGCTGTCGCCGTCGCTCCCGTCCTCCTCGCCCTCCGCCTCCTCGCTGCGGTCGCTGCTGGGTTCGTGGCCCGGGGGCAGAGCGCCGGACCCCGAGGGGAATGCGGACGGGGGACTCCAACCGGGACAAGGACTCCAACCGGGATGGGGACTCGAACCGGGACAAGGACTCGAACCGGGACAAGGACTCAAACCGGGACAAGGACTCGAATCGGGACAGCGGCGTGGAGACTCAGGGCCTCCCGGGATCTCCCGGGTGTGGGGTCCAACCCGAACCGCCGAACTCTCCGGAGCCGATGGCAAGCGCGGCTCAGGTGATGACGCGCATGTTCTCATGTTGTGTGTGTCTGTCTTTGTCTATCTGTCTATGTCTGTATGTGTCTGTCTGTCTGTTTGTGTATGTGTCTGTCTGTGTCTATCTGTCTGTGTCTATCTGTCTGTGTCTGTCTGTGTGTGTCGGGGGAGCAGTAGTGTAGCGGTTAGCACGCCGCACTATGAATCCGGCGACCCGAGTTCGATTCCTGCCCTCGACCAATAACAGTGGCGAATATTTGAGCCGGTCCTGGGTCTCCTCTAGGTTGACTCTGCCTCAAATGCGTACTTGATGCGATGTTTAAACACGAGGGTGCTAGCCACCCACCCCCTCGTGTGCCATGCCGGTCTTCATAGTTGCTCGCTAACAGCACTTGCCCCAACAGTCTGTTAAGGCTATATTAAGGACCTGTATATGTGTGCTTGTGTCGTGTCCATCTGTTTGTATTAATTGCTATACTGCAGTGTCTATGTTGGTGGTTGAGTCGGCTTGAAGTGACCTGATGAGAGGTCAAGGCACCAATCATCATCAGAGACTCATTAATTATCGCTGTCATCACGCTCCTCCTCAAGCACGAATCACGGTCATCAGCAGATCCATCATCGTTCACCATAATTATCACACATCTGCATCATCATCAAACATTCACGATCGTGATGACAATTTTGATACACATCCTAGTGACACACACATCAACTTGCATAGCCTTAAACAGGCTGTTGGGGCAAGTGCTGTTAAGCACTCACCAACATCACACACTTCACATCATCACATCACACACATCACATCATCATCACGAGCATTATCACACACACACACATTGTCATCGTCTCACACATTCGCATTATCGTCATAAAACACTCACTGTAATGATCGCTCTCCGTGTAACATCGTCAACTCCCACGCCTCGCCACATGCCACTCGTCACCAAAGCAAACAGTGATGACCCCCACCCACCCACTAAGCTTCCCCCTCCATCATCACCACCATCATCATCATCATCACCACCACCACCATCATCATCATCACCACCATCATCATCATCATCACCATCATCATCGCCGCCCCCTCCGTCACCACGCCGGTGTTGGGCGCGCGAAGCAACCCCGGGGCTCTGAGCGATCGCCCGGTGTGAAAACACAAAGACAAACAAAGACAAAGATCCCCCGTATAGTTTTACAACCGACGATTGGGGCAAGTGCTGTTAGCGAGGAGCACCTGCGAAGGTCGGGATGGTGCACAAAGGGGGTGGCCAGCACCACGCACACCGGGCCGCTCTCGCCTCTACCGAGTGGCCACGGTAGCTCATCTCAGGCTGAGTCGATCTGGGTGTAGGCACACGACCGGTTCATTGTAATGGTATCTGGTGCGTGTTGCTGGCTGCGCACTGCGCTAACCACTGCGCCTCCACTCCCCCCGAGTGGAAACAGAACACACACACGCGCGTACAGCGATTGCCCTGCGCGGGGCACGTGGGTGCTGTTAGCTATTAGCGCCGGTGTGAGATTGTAGTTTGACCCCCGTAGGATTCTCACTCCGTGGAGGGGGGGGGGGGGGCGAAGTAGGGGGTCAAAATACAAATGTTATGAATGGCCCTCTTCCGAATATTACAACAATTGGGTAACGCTTTGGTGTGACGGCGTTGTGCAATGCTGCCGGCCCAGTCGCTCTCGAGAAAGAGCTTCTCGGCTCACCGGCTTTACCGACCGGGACGTGAACTTGTAAACCCCCCGCCCCCGTCTCTCCGCCCCACCGGCAGAGCCAGTTTTTGGGTCATTGTGCTCATCTCACAGCTGTTGTTATGATGGGAGTTGGCCGATGGCTGTCATGTTCGCCTTGAACCCTCATGAAGACAAATGGAAATTCGAAGGAGGCGATATGAAAACCTTGGCCACGCATCCGCGCTCCGATCACACCAATCTGGTGTTTGCGATCCGTCGGCGTTGCGTGTTGCTCGTTGTTGGCGGCCCTTGTCTCGTCCCGGTGGCTGGGGAAGCGCGCGAGTGGGAGCTGGAGCAAGCGAGCGTGAGTGGGAGCAAGCGAGACGAACACTGCCAGTGGGACAATGAAAGTGAGGCACAAACGAGACTCACAATACAAGCGAGGTATATAATACAAATGAGACAGACAATGGAAATGGGATGGACAATACAAACGAGACGGACAATACAGACGAGTCGGACAATACCAATGAGATGGACAATACAAACGAGATGAACGGAGACAAAGACGATGACTCCAGGCAGGGTTTCATCTAAGCCGCCTCTGTCTGGGTCAGAGATCCAGAAAATATTTTCCACGCCCGGCACACCACACCCAGTATACCCACATCTCGCTATGACTGTGGCCGCGACTCGAGTCACCTGCCCATCTACTCCAGTCGACACCGGCGACCCGCAGAATATTGAGTGGGAAATTAAACCGTGGTGACCTCATCCCCACCCTAGTCCCAGACCAGGGGTCGGTAAGCAGAAGAACAAGAAAGAGGCTTTTTTTATTCGGTACAAAGACTCAATACTTCAAGAGCATGTGACTAACCCTTTCCTAGACCATAATCCTTAACCCTTTACCGTAACCCTAACCCCCAAACCCCATTCCCGTCTCCAACCCTAATCCTAACCATAACTCTTAAGACGGTCACTTATCATAATCCTAATCCTGGCCCATACTCCAACCCTAATCTAAGTGGCTAACCCCAACCACGAGGTTCACTTTGCTTTCTAACCACAACTCCAACCTTATCCCGAACCCCAGCCCCAATCGCACCTGCGATTAGCACGGTTGGTCATGTATGGTACGAAAGAAGTTCAACATACAACCATAATCCTAATCCTATCTTTAATCAAAACGCAAACCCTACTCCAACGGTAACCTTAACCCTATAGCCAAAACCCTCTCCCTCACCCGAATCCTCGTGTCTAACAACAACTCTTACCATAATCCTGACTCTTACACCAACAAAACAGGCCTACCCTAGTCCCAACCCCTAACCCCAACGATACCCCTAACCCCACCCATCTCCAACCCTAACCCTAACCCTGACGATATATACCCATACCCAAACCCCTATCTCGAACCCTATCTATAGCCCTCACCCGCACGTTCACGTTGTACCCGCACACACTCACGTCACGGCGCCCACTATCATCACGATCATCATCACAATCATCATCACGATCACCATCACGATCACCATCACGGCCACGCCCCTTGAGCCCCGATACCAACCGTGAGACGTGATTGGCGACCGCCCCGGGCCCCGCGCTTTGGGGGGGGGGGTGGCGCTTTGGGGGGGCTCCGCGATTCGACGTCACGGCTTAGTTTGAAGGCGTCGCGGGGAGGCACACACGGGATGGGGGTTTGTCCCGGGCCCCCCACACCACCGCCCCCCTATGGGCGACTCTGCCTGGGGGGACGGGGAAGTGGGGGGGGTGATGAGTAGGGGGGGGGGGGGTCTGGGTTATTTTTGCTTCAGCCACCCCCCCTCCCCTCGGGGCTCCCACGATGCCGACTCGGCAGTCCCGGGGCTGTGTGCACACCGAGACTCGCTCGGGGAGGGGACACACACAGGTGGCGAGTTGGTGGGGTGTGTGTGAGGTTGTCTGTGTGAGGTTGTCTGTGTGTGTGTGAGAGGTTGTCTGTGTGTGTGTGAGAGGTTGTCTGTGTGTGTGTGAGAGGTTGTCTGTGTGTGTGTGAGAGGTTGTCTGTGTGTGTGTGAGAGGTTGTCTGTGTGTGTGTGAGAGGTTGTCTGTGTGTCTTTGTGTTGTCTGCGTGAGTGCGTGGGGAGCGGTAGTGTAGCGGTGAGTGCGCTGCGCTACAAACCCGATTACCGCTCACGGCCAACACCTGTGACTGATTCATTATCTGAACCCGTCCTGGGCATCTCCTAGGTCCATTCAACCTCAAATGAGTACCTGGTGCGGTGTGTAAAGATCGTCACTAGGGAGACAAAGGCGGCCGGGCGTGGTGCTGGCCACCCCACCCCCTCGTGTTCCATGCCCGCCTTCATAGATGCTCGTTTGCAGCACTTGCCACCACAGTCTATCAGGTTATACGGGGAACCTTTGTCTTTGGTGCGGGTCTTTGTGTGTGTGTCTTTGTATGTTGGTGTCTCTGTACCATTTGTGTTTCTGTGTGTCTTTTTGGGGCTCTGAGGAGTGTCTGTGTATCTGTGTGTGTGTCTCTGTGTGTGTGTCTCTGTGTGTGTGTGTCTGTGTCTGTGTCTCTGTGTGTGCCATGCCGGCCTTCATCGGTGCTTCCTCAGACCACGTGTCCCCCCAGGCTGCTGGAGGCAACGCGAGGAGGTGGACTCGTGCAGTAGTATTTGCATGCTGTCAAATCCACACTTGTGTACTCGGCAACCTTACTTGGTCAACACGGAAGCAATGGATGGGGCGGGGGGGGGGCTGCGGTGGGGAGTGGGGGATCACACTGCCCCCCCTCCCCCCGCATGTCCCCAGTTCATTATGGATGAGAACAAACAAAGTCTCGTGCTGCGTCGTAACAGACAAGTCAACACGTGAGTTGGACCATCAGCCTGTTGGCCTTCAATCGCCAACGTCGCTATCCACCAGCAGCACTTGTTCCCGCGAGCGACCCCTGGACCGGTCCCGACCTTCAGGGTCTCATCAGCAGAGCCACCCCCGTTAGATTACCCCCCAGATGCCGATTCATTGCCCCTGTAATCAAACTGATTCCTAGTTTCACAATGAATGTTTATCCGGGTGCGCCTGTGTGTGTCTGCTGTGCGCCTGTGTGTGTCTGTGTGTGCGCCTGTGTGTGCCTGTGTGTGTCTGTGTGTGCGCCTGTGTGTGTCTGTGTGTGTCTGTGTGTGTCTGTGTTTGTCTGTGTGTGTCTGTGTGTGTCTGCTGTTTGTCTGTGTGTGTCTGCTGTTTGTCTGTGTGTGTGTCTGTGTGGCGTATGTAGTGTAGCGGTTTGCGCTCCACTCCGCTACGAACCCGGGTTCGATTCCCATTCACGGCCAACACCAGTGACGATGAT